TCAGTTTCTGTATTAGACAAATTAGAAAAATTCGACGACATTATGGCATAAGCGCTTGGGTCATATCTCAAAAGGTAGAGTTGAGCGTCTTGTGTCTGATGGCATTTTGGATTCCCTTGATTTTTTGGATTTCAACGTATGTGTTGAATGTATTAAGGGAAAACTAACCAAAGTTAAGAGATTAGGTGCTAACGGATCTTCGGATGTCTTAGAATTAATACATACGGATATTTGTGGGCCATTCCCTACGACATCCTGGAATGATTAATAATATTTTATATCATTCATAGACGATTACTCACGTTATGGGTACCTATATCTTTTTCATGAAAAATCTGAGTCTTTGGACATGTTCAAAGCCTATAAAGCTGAAGTTGAGAATCAACTTAACAGAAGAATTAATATTGTTAGATCTGATCGTGGTGGTGAGTACTACGGTAGATATGATGGTTCAGGTGAACAACGTCTAAGACCATTTGCTAGATACCTAGAGGAATACGGTATCGTCCTACAGTACACCATGCCGGGTTCACCTAGCATGACCATTTGCTAGATACCTAGAGGAATACGGTATCGTCCTACAGTACACCATGCCGGGTTCACCTAGCATGAATGGTGTAGCTGAAAGACGAAACAGGACTCTTAAGGATATGGTAAGAAGTATGATAGCTCATTCTTCTTTAGCAGAGTCACTCTGGGGAGAAGTACTTAAGACAGCAGCTTACATTCTGAACAGAGTACCAAGTAAAGCAGTTGCTAAAATACCTTATGAGCTTTGGACTGGTCGAAAGCCCAGTTTAAAGCACTTACATATTTGGGGATGTCTAGTTGAGGCAAGGCCTTATAGGCCAAATGAAAAAAAATTAGACTCTAAAACAGTTAGCAGCTACTTTATTGGGTATTATGAACGTTCTAGGGGCTATAAGTTCTATGATCCCATACTAAGGAATATTTTTGAGACGGGAACAACAACATTCTTTGAGGATGTTGAGTTTAGAGGGAGAAATAAGGTCAGAGACATTGCTTTTGAGGAGGAATTGGCTTCAGATCTAATTCATACAATTACTTTTGATAATATTCAGGTTCCTATACCTGTTGTTGCTCAAGAAGTAAATCCGGAACCTCAATATGACAATGTTAAACAACTCCCTGTTCCAGAAGAACAAACTCAACAACCTCAAGAACCAGTGCCATTAAGGAGATCCACGAGAGAAAGGAGAAATGCTATTTCGGATGATTATATTGTATTTCTCCAAGAACATGAGGAAAGTAATAAAATGTTAGAAGATGATCCAATCAACTTTTCTCAGACCATAAAAAGTTCTAACTCTCAACAGTGGATTGATGCCATGAATGAAGAGTATAAGTCTATGCAAGACAATAAGGTTTGGGAAATTATCCCATTGCCAGAAGATGCAAAATCAATTGATTGTAAATGAATTTTTAAAACCAAGCAGGATGCAAACGGTAATGTGAAGAGGTATAAGGCACGTCTTGTAGCTAAAGGCTTTACTCAAAAGGAAGGCATTGATTATACAAAGACTTTCTCTCCGGTTTCATCGAAAGACTCTTTCAGAATAATCATGGTGCTTGTTGCTCATTATGATCTTGAGTTACATCAGATGGATGTTAAGACTGCATTTCTCAATGGCGATATTGATGAGATGATTTATATGATAAAACCAGAAAACTTTGTGTCAGGAGACCCAAAGAACATGGTTTGCAAATTAAGAAAATCCATCTATGGACTCAAGCAAGCTCCTCGTCAATGGTATTATAAGTTTTAACAAATAATTATCTCGTTCGGTTTTTAGATGAACATTGTTGATGACTATGTATATCACAAGTTCAGTGGGAGTAAGCATATCTTTCTGGTTCTGTATATTGATGACATATTGCTTGCCACTAATGATATAGGCATGTTGCACGAAACCATGAGATTTCTATCAAAGATTTTTGAGATGAAAGATCTTGGGGACGTCTCTTTTATATTAGGAATCCAGATACATCGAGATCGCTCTCGAGGTATACTTGGATTATCAAAAAAGAGCTATATCGATAAGGTACTTAAAAGGTTTGGCATGCAAGACTGCAGACCAGGAGATACCCTTGTTGCTAAAGGAGACAAGTTTAGTCTCAATCAGTGCCCTAAAGGCAACCTTGAAATTCAAGAAATGCAGAAGATTCCTTATGCTTCGGCTGTAGGAAGTCTAATGTATGCTCAGGTATGTACACATCCAGATATTACGTACATTGTTGGGATGTTAGGCAGATACTTAAGCAACCCTGGTATGGATCATTGGATAGCAGTCAAAAGGGTTATGAGGTATCTTCAGAAAACAAAAGATTATATGCTCACATGCAGAAAATCAGATCAGCTGGAGGTCATTGGGTACTCTGATTCTGATTTTGCTGGATACCAAGATAGCAGAAAGTCTACATCAGGCTACATTTATATGTTAGCAGGAGGAGCTATATCATGAAAAAGTGTTAAACAGACACTTGTAGCTTCCTCCACTATGGCAGCAGAATTTGTAGCTTGCTATGAGGCATCAAATCAGGGAATATGGCTACGAAATTTTATCACGGGACTGCGCATTCTGAAAAATATGGAAAGATCAATAAGGTTATATTGTGACAATAAATCTGCAGTAATGTATTCCAATAACAACAGGAGCTCAACTAAGTCAAAACATATTCACATTAAGTTCCTGGTTGTGAAAGAAAGGGTACAGAGTGGACAGATATCCATAAAGCACATTAGGACAAACTCCATGATAGCTGATCCTCTTACTAAGAGATTGCCACCCAAGGTCTTTCATGAGCATACTGCTCATATGGGTGTGGTATTATTTGAGGATATCATGATTTAGTGGGAGTTTGTAATTGTGGTGCTTTATGTTAGGTTGTATTATCTGATCAGAATAAAGTATTCAGTTAAGACACTCTGTTACATTATATTTGGTTTTGACCTCACTAAAGTAGGACCAGTTAAAAATAGACATGTATTGATCACATTGTATGTAATTTTCATGATGTACATCCATGATTGATCTATGTCGTTTGATTGTATTGGTATATATGACCATTGATGGGTCGAGTCATGATAGATGTGACGAAGGCCGCTTTGATCCTATATTGATATAGTCAATGGACGAGATTGTTCGGAAATACCTTTTCAGTAATAGCAATTTTGAGCTCATAAGGTTATACACAATTTAAGGAATTATATGGTGCCCAAGTGGGAGATTGTTGGATTTAAATCTAATTAAATCTAATTATGGGCACATATGATTAATCAATGTGTATTGCTATCTTTAAGGATAACCCACTTAAAGTGATCAATCAATTTTGGGTTAATGGGTATTTAAATAAATCATGAGGTTATATGTGCAGATACCAGGTTGTAATTGTAATTTAATAAGGGGCCAAATTACAAATGTACAACACCTATATATATAGGGTTATGGTCCATAATCTAGGGTTAGCCACTCTCATTCTCTTATCCACATCTAAAGAGATCCATAAGGGAGAAACCCTAAGACCCTATTTGGATTGAGGGTAATGGGGGTGAGGGGAAGAGAGGGTAACTTTTAACCTTGTTTGGAAAGTAAATATAACAGGTTAATAGGGGTGAGGGGAGGGGAAAGGAGGTGAAAAAATGGACAGATTTCTTCCCCCCCAATTTGGGGTGTAACCAGGGTGAAGGTAAAGAGGGGGAATACAATAAATATTGATAGACAAATTTACCCCTAGCTAAGATCAAAATCCAACGGTTGAAATTTTCTCATAGAAACCCCAACATTATAAACTCTCTGTTGCTTCCTCCTCCGCCATTTCTTCTTCACCGCTTCTCTCGCCTCCACGTCTTCACTCGCCTCCGCGTCAATCTCGCCTCAAAATTTTTTCAAGGTAAGATTTCTCTCCTCTTTCTTCAATTTTACTGCACTCCGCGTCAATCTCGCCTCAAAATTTTTTCAAGGTAAGATTTCTCTCCTCTTTCTTCAATTTTACTGCAGATCTTGTAATTCGTTCCAGTTTTTAATTTCAAGGTAAGATTTCTCTCCTCTTTCTTCAATTTTACTGCAGATCTTGTAATTCGTTCCAGTTTTTAAGCTCGGTTGGATGTTGATTACGTTGAAATTAGTCAGACCTGAGCAAAAAGTTTGCTGGAGTCTTGATCTAGGGTTTCGAGAATAATGAGCTACTACTTGTTCACTGACTATCCTCGATTACTTGTTTACTGACTATCCTCAGTTTGCTGGAGCTTAGAAATTCTATGGCCTAGATCAAATTCGATTACAGTTTTTATTTGCAAATCACAAATCTTTCAAGATAGATCTTTGAGATATCAAATACTATTTATTACCTGATTTAGTTGTAGTTTAAAAATCCAACTTTTGTCTGTTTCTTCTTTTCTTTTTGTAGTTCAAAATGTCATGTATACTTACCTTCTGTTTCTGAGGCAGAAAATAATGAACAGCTAACAGCCTTAAAATTGATCTTTTCCCTCTTTCTCATTTTTGTAGTTCAAAATTTGCTTGAACTTGGTGTTGAGACTGCTCAAATTAAACAAGCGTATCTTTTCCTAACTAAGCATCCAGAGGATCTAAAACCTTTGCTTGGATGTCCATTTGAAGAGCGCAAGGAACTTCTTATGATGATGTTATCTTGAGAATCTATGTTAGCCCGATCACGTTATTAGCTTATTATGTACTCATCTTATGAAGGTGGGATGTGCTGGTATTATTGGCATTTATTTTTGTAAGTTGTATTGCCGAATTTGATTATCTGAGGCAATTACAAACATGTTTGTTTTTGTGTTGCTTATGGCAAAACTTAGTATGAATGTGGTCATATTTTGCTAGAAACATGTACTAATTGCAAAACTTTGATTTTATGAATTATGTTCCTTTTTTATGTAAGTTGTTTTAGCCTATTTAGTATGTATGTTGGTATGTGACTGTCATTATTATTTTTCATTCCAAACTTAGTATGAATGTGCAGTTGGATCGAACAGTTTCTGATGGCGCATTCTCCAGAACAGTGAACAAAAGTTGAAGATTTGCTTCACTGAAATTTGTTCACATAACTTTTATATACATTCATCAGTTTCATAAACCAGAACTTTTATATACATTCATCAGTTTCATAAACCAGAAGGGATGGTACAATTTGCCTATGACTTACCAAAAGTCTGCATCAATGATCGTTAGTTTACAGAGAGCAAGCATTGCAAAAGCCTGAAGTTGTGGAAACTGGAATATAGAATTAAAGCATGAGTTTAGAAAATGGACCAGAAATGAGGTAGATGACACGATAGCAGGCAACCAAGTAAAAATATGTACTGCTACAAAACAAAAGAAATCTCAACTATGCATGCGTTGATCACCTTTTGCATCAAATTAAAGTTTCTACATAGCTTTGAGAGAAACAGAGCACAATGGATTTTCTTTTTTAACATGTGAGGATATATATCCGTGCAAAGCTTCAATTTTAACATGTGAGGGTATTTATGTCAATTTATATACATTCCCTTCCCTTCCCTTCCCGTTATTAGACTTTCCAAACGGGGTGAAATAACTTCCCCTTGATTCACCTTACTAGTTTCCCAAACAAGTTTTAGAAATTCCCTTCCCTTCCCTTCCCTTAACTTCCCCTAGGTTCCCCTAACTTCCCTTCACCCCCTCCAAATCCAAACAAGCCCTAAGGTTAGAAGATCATCAAAACCCTAATCAGGTTTTCTTATATGCTTCCGCTCCTTTTGATTCTTGTTAATCTCTTTGAATTAATCATGGCTTTAAGTTTTAGATCTCAAATTTTAGATCTAACATTTTTTACTGGTGCTACTTTAGACTTGGCTTCACCGTTTCTGAAACTATCTATGCGTTCCACTCTTGTTACTATAGTTTAGGTATGACCATAAAGAGGAAGGACTACGTATTGGTTAGTTCACATGTCAACTACGACGTGAAAAAATTTGCATGGAGAGAATAATTGCAGTACCTTTGCAACGAATATTAAAAGTAAAAGTAACAGAACTTCAAAAGAAAACAAGAAAGAAAAGAAAGAAAGAAAAAGCAAATCTCTTTTAATAGTTGGCAGGCAGGAAACTTAAAGGCCCGCGAATAAAGAGAGCATAATGTATGAGACTAAGGACTGTGACTAAAACAAAGAAACTTGATACTAATACCTTCAAAGTTAATGGTTAAGGATTTGTCATTTGCTTTTTTGAAATATGCTTTGCTTGCACTTATCTATCTAGCTTCCTGAAGAATCTTGCAATTTATAAATGATATATATGAAGAAAAGCAGAACCTAATTTCTATAACATTATTTAGTTAATTATCATCTAAAGTTTACTCTAGGTCTCATTTACTAATTGCGATTATATAATTAAGAGTGCCAGAGAGAGCACTAGATTTATTTTCTTTTTTTTTTTGGTAAATAAAAAATTTTATTCATCAACCAATATGAAAAGAGAATGTACATCAAGAATCTCATCACATTTGTGAGATAACAAATTTAGTATCTAAAACTCAATGAAACATTTACTAGAGCCGTAATACTGTTTCTAACTTCTCCTATTGACTCTTCAACAAAGATCATAGGCCCGAAAACATGTATCAGGGATATCTGTTACAACCTGCACATGTATTCCCGCTGAGGTTTATCATGCCATGAGCCAGACACTCCTCTTATGAATTTCCCAGTGAAACATTTTCAGCTACTAATCCCCTGTTACATCTATAAGGAGGTCAACCAGTTTTTATTTTCCTCAGGTAGTCCACTGTTAAGAACTACTATCAGCAAGTCCAGCTTGATGTTTTTGATGATTTGCACAACAGTTTTGAAACTCTGCTTAAAAATCCTTCCATTGCGCTCCAACCATATATTGTAGATAGAGGAAGTGAGGTCCATTCTTTTAACATTGATCTTGAAAGCTTTTCTCCTTTGGTTTGCTTCATACCAGCTCATCAATTGATTCCAGTCACAGCTTTTCCAGTTGAATTGTAGCCAATTCATAACTCCATTCCAAACATCTCTCGAAAATGCACATTCAAAGAACAAGTGGTTTCGAGTTTCAGCTTCTGAACCTGCACACAGTGCACAGTTATTGTTTTGAATGACCCCTCTTCTCAACAGCTTATCCTGAGTTAGTAGTCTATCTTGGACTGCTAACCAAGAGATGAAAGAGTGCTTGGGGTAATTTAGTCTCCCCCAGATTGTTACATTCCATGGCACTCTATTTGTAGTGGGGATTAAGGCATGATATAAGTCTGACAAGGTGATTTTTGAGTTCCTGCAGCAGGAACTGATTAGGCTAATTAGATTAACCTCCCCTCCACAGTAATCCATAGCTTTATTTCTGATTTTCAACAACTGCTTCCATAACCAGGAATCACTTCTTTTGATTTCTACCTGCCATATACTTCTGCTCCTGAGATAAGTGTCATGAACTCATTTGATCCATAAGAGCTCTTTATTAGTGTGTATATCCCATAGGGTTTTTAAAGCTGCAGGTTTATTCCATATGCTTGAAGAAAAAATCCCCAATCCACCATACATTTTATCTGTGCAAACCCTTTCCCAGGATACCAGTGGAGTTTTGAAAGCTTGATCATTTTTCCCCCAAAGGAAATTCCTGCAAAGTTCATCCACCCTTTGAAGCACTTTAACTGGGAGAACGTAACTAGATGTCCAGTATATTTGTATGCCAAGGATGACACTCTTGATGATCTGTAACCTGCCTGCATAAGACAAGGATGTCCAGTATATTTGTATGCCAAGGATGACACTCTTGATGATCTGTAACCTGCCTGCATAAGACAAGTTCTTGAGCTTCAAAAATTCCTGGAACTGGTTAGTGATTTTGGTGAAGAGAGGGGAGCAGTCCAGGTATGTTAGTCTCTTGCACATTAGGGGAACACCTAAATATTTAATAGGCATTTTTCCCTCAGTAAACCCCAGATAGGATTGGATTGTTTCTTTAACTTCTTCCTCTACTCCTCCATAGAAGATAGCACACTTGCTTGGATTTGCTTCTAAGCCAGAGACATCACTGAATTTTGTGACACATTGGTATAATTTCTGAATTGAATTCAAGTCACCCTTACTAAATAATAAGAGATCATCAGCAAAGATTAAGTGTGATATTTTGAGCCTCCCACATCTTGGATGGAATTTAAAAGTTTTGTCTTGCTTCAATAGATCTAAGCTTCGTGAGAGATATTCCATTCCCAATATAAACAGATAAGGGGAGAGTGGATCTCCTTGCCTCAGCCCCCTTTCCCCTTTGAAATATCCATGTAAAGAGCCATTGAGTGAGATGGAATATTTTGGAGTAATAATGCAAGTCATAATCCTGTCGCACAAAAATTTTGGAAAACCCAGACCATCCAGCATCTCCCTTATGAAATTCCAACTGATTGTGTCGAAAGCTTTTCTAATGTCAATATTAATCATGGCTCTTGGGGAGATATTTTTCCTGCCATAATCCTTGACTAACTCATGAGCTAACAAGATATTATTTACTATGTGCCTTCCCTTCACAAAAGCACTTTGAGAATCATTGATCAGGATCCCCATAACAGATTGTATTCTATTAGCAAGTATTTTTGATATAATTTTGTTAAAGGCAATTACAACAAGAAATTGGCCTAAAATCAGATGGGGAGCTTGGACAGTGTACCTTGGGTATGAGTGTGATAGAGGTTGAGTTTACAGCTCCCAGTAATTTGCCAGTTTTGAAGAAGTCTTCTATTGCAAGTGTAACCTCCTTTTCTATCACTGGCCATGCAGATTTATAGAAAGATGCACCATAACCATCTGGACCAGGGGACTTTTGATCTGATATAGAGAATACTGCTTTCTTAATTTCTTCTTTGGAAACAAGTGAAGATAAGCTCCTAATGTGATCTTCATTCAAGCAGGGTCCATGTTGAATTATCCTGATGTCAGGAGATTTCGTAGCTCTTGCTTTGCCCATCAGGTTCTTGTAGTAGGAGATTAGCTCACTTATAATGTCTTCTCCCTCAGTGAGCCTAACACCTGAGCTGTTATAGAGAACTAGAATTCTGTTCTGATGTCTTTTGACCTTAAGGACTGAGTGAAAGTAGCTTGTACATTCATCTCCCTTAATGCTCCACTGTATTCTGTCTTTTTGTTGAAAGAAAGATAACTCACAGTTTAGAAGTTTATTGTAGTTGGAAAGGCATTCTTTTTCCTGGTTAATCAATACAGGGTTGAGGGGGTCATCTTGTAGCTTTCCCTGAGTTTCCTCTAGAGCAAATTTAGCTCTAAGAACTTGTTCACTAATATTACCAATATGTTTTCTATTTAATTCTTTTAATTCACCCCTCAAGAGCTTGAGCTTGGTATATACGGAATACATTCTATATACTTCAATTTCCTTATTCCATATTGAGGAAACTGTGGGCAAGAAATTATTGTGCTTGGTCCACATATTAAAAAACTTGAAGGGCTTTTTTCCTTGAGTATCATCTTCATAGATTGAAACCATAGCAGGAGAGTGGTCAGAGAAATTAGGGAGCAGGAACTCTACATGGCTAGAATTGTTTTTTTGAATCCATCCATGAGTCATTCACTAGGGCTCTGTCTAACCTGCACCAAACCCTTGTGATATGATCCTGTTTATTGTTCCAGGTGAAAAAACTACCCAGAGTTTTGAGGTGAGAAAGATTACAGTCTTCAATGAAAGAAGTAAAATCATTTGTATCAGAGTCAGTGAGCATTGTACCTCCCAATTTTTCTTCATCTTCAATGAAAGAAGTAAAATCATTTGTATCAGAGTCAGTGAGCATTGTACCTCCCAATTTTTCTTCATTGCTTATCATTGTGTTGAAATCCCCACACAGCAGCCATGGTACACTTCCAATTGTTTGGTATATTTGAAAGAGATCAGCCCATAACTCTTTTCTATTTTCCTGATGATTTGAACCATAGATAGATGAGATAACACTTTCTGTTCTCCCGTCCACTGACTTTACTGAGCATGTTATTTAGTTGTGAAGTGACATGTGTAATTTGAACATCTAGAGTGCTAGAATCCCATAAAATCAGAATTCTGGCCTTTCCTGGACTTGTCACATTGGAGAACCATTTCCCATTTGCAGCAATTCTCTTAGTGTCACTTGGAATTTTATTATCCTTCAATTTTGTTTCCAAAAGAGCTATGAAAGAGAGATGATTTTGAAAAAGGTGTTGCTTAACTAAATGTTGTATAGGGGGTTTGTTCAAACCCCTAACATTCCAAAAAGACCAGTTCATCAGTTTGTTCCTCCTCTATCTAGAATAGAAGAATCCAGATTATTCTCCATAACAGCCAAAGGGGAGTAAGAATTGATATAATTCATTTTATTTTTCCCTTTTTTAATGAGCATCCAGGAATTTTCATTTTGATCAGATCCATGCCTATAGACTGGAGGAAAAACATGCATAGTATGCTCAGGGCTAGAAACTGCAGTTGGCTGAGCAAAACCCTGTGCTGTTGGCAAAACATGCACAACATGCACAGAGTCTGTTTCAGCAGATTCTGGTAGTTGTGCTATTTTTCTAGCTTGTACTGCCTCCACTTTCTCTTGAGGAACATGCACTTGCATATGCTCAGGATTTTTACCAGGATCAAACCTCAAAGTAGACATTCCCGTATCATTCACATTTCCAGTTTTTGATTTTCCAGGAGTTAAGATTGACATAATCACATCCTGAATAGGTCCAGGATTTCCTTCTTTGTTAGGGATATCCAGTCCTTTAATTGGTCCAGAACTTGATTTTCCATCATCTCTATTCATCTGAGCATTGCAGTTATTAGAAGCATGTTTAGGAATCCATCTCTGAGTTTTTTTCTGCCTCCTACAAACTGTTGTATCATGTCCAATCACTTTACAGAAATCACACCAACTGGGCTTATGTTCATAGAAGACCTTCTGATTTACCATTTCACCATTTGGACCTTGAATTGATATGTGATCAGGAAGTTGTAAAGGCATTTTAACTTCAACTAGAACCCTAGCATAAGCTAATCTCTGTTTTGTTGCTGTGAGTTTATCAGTTGCAATTGGCCTTCCAACAACACTTGCAATCTTACTTATACTTTTAGCATTCCATAAATTAAGTCTGAGGCTTGGTAACTGTATCCACATAGGGTAGATATTGTTGAAGCTCTTCTCAATTTCCTCATTTATAGACCAGTGTTTAAGATGAATAGGTCTTGAACCAAAAAACCAAGGACCACTTTCAATAACTTCATTCAATTTTGAATTTGAAAAGGAAAAGGCCTGGTTTCAACAAGAAAATTTCAGGATTTGCCAACTGAGCCCAGACTTTCTTAACAAAAGATTCCATAGCTTTAAACTTTGCATTCAATCCTATAACCTGCCCAATGAGAGAGAATTCCCACATGGATTCCCCTTCTTTCCATTCTTCTTCTTCAAATTTTACAGAATCTTTAGATTCTGGAGGGATAAAATCCAAAATCATACCACTCCCTGCCTTTCTATTATCAGTAAAAAAACTGATCCAACTCTTTTTAGATTCATTTTCTGGATTCAAAACAGGTTTATCATTTAAGGCAATAATAGGAGGAAAATCTGCCTCCGTTCCTTTTGATTTATCTTGAGCTGAATCTGACTTAATCTCATCATTCTTAACTGGATTCAGAGCCTCAGTGTTAGATTTTCCAATCGATGCAGGATACAAAAGATTTGATCCACATTGATCAGGAACATGCGGATCTTGAACTACTCGCTCCATTATGTGAGATGGAGGGATTCCCTATCTGACGAGATTGAAAACCAAAAAGTTGAGGAGATACCTGAGATGTAGGATTGACAAGAAAACTTGTAGATCCGAGGATTTCTCTCATAGATTTCTTCATTTTCTCCCCTTTAGGGCCAGTTGACCCCATGAATCCAGTGCTAGAACCTTCATCTTCTTCAACAATATTGGTATCAATACGATCCTCTGAGGGTTGCAAACAAGGATTTGACGATCGCAAACCAATGCTTAAGATCTTTGTAGCGCTACTTCTCTTCTTTCTTGCCATCATGAACTCAGCGGGGGCGCACTTTAGCAGAAATTTTTTTGCCTGCTAAAATGCGCCATGGATAACCGCCAAAACAGAAAGAAGATAGATTTATTTTCTTAGTATTACTAAAAACCATATTCTAATCTTAATTTGTTCAATTTTTTTTCAAACTTCAAGTTTTGACATACCACACGACGGTTCTACTTCTCTAATAACAAATTAAAATCCGATGGCGTCTTAAACACTAATAGACATTGTTATTGTACCCATTATATATATACTGACCGCTCTCTTATGCCCACCATGATCATTAAGAATTTGTTTGTTCAAGACTCCAAGAGCCCTTATATCTTGCAAGAATAAATTTCACTATTCTATGCATGAAGGTAGTAATGTCATGGATAAATAAGATAATATAGGTTAGTTTTTCATCAAAAAGTCATCTTAGTCCTTACAAACAGCTTTACGCATGCATCACATGTGCCCATTCTTCATGGATAAATTTTTACAAGAAGATTTAACACTCCATAATGTTATGTGTGTGTATATATATGAGATAAAGGAGATGGTAAGATGATATTTTTATCATCAGATGGCTCAATAGGCTACCCGGAATCATGATCGACATTGTCCATCTTGATTTGCACTCATCATGATCTATATGTAGAAAAAAGTATATTGTCCATATACATTTGATGATGTTTTGAGCAAGATGTATGGCACGGATCATAAATTTGATGACCCGATTAGTCCATAGTCTATCTCACAATAAGATTTCATCTCACCATATCATTACTATACATACACGTACAGACTGCACATATATACACCCACATATGTATATATGTATGTGTGTGCATTAAATCGTTATCTTAACAATCGTGTAATTTAAAACATTAAATTTTAGAGGGAAACCTAATAGTTCACATGGCAAAGTGTCGCTGCCTTGTAGGGAGCCTAGATTAAATTTCCATGTGTGCAAAAGGCGCGGCAGTTGTAATTGTTGATGCTGTTGTTATGCGTGCCAAAAGCCATATTTTCGTTAAAAAAAGTTAAAACTTTCGTAAGGCTAATATAGAACTAGCCAGCTCACAGTAGTGTTTTATGAGGAGAGAATTCGATAGGTAGGATTGGATAGTATTCTTTCATATTCACCACTAATCTGTTAGACAGCATATAATATAAACTGGTGGAGGAGAAAGATAATAATTAGCAATAACAATTTGATATCCTTTGCATCATTCATTAATGTATTGGATATTCTAGTCACACTTTCTCTTGCTTAGCTGGACCCTTCAGGCTCTTAAACATTCCTCATGATCATCACGTCAATTTTCCTTTTCAGATTCCAGTTTGTTGGGTCCGGGGTTGTCTATGATCTTAATTATAAACATTCGATAAAAGTTGATATTAGTAATAATAATAAAAGAGACAGAAAATCTAGAACGTAAAGATTACTTTCCTTAAAGAAAATATGAGGGGGGTTAATGATCACTTCCCCATTTATTTGTTTCATGCAGAATAAGAGAGAATCCAAATCGACCATTGTCCTCTTCCATGAAAACATTTCCCTATATAATTAAGCTTCCACAACATAGAACAACAAACCCCAAATGCCTCTCCCCCGCCCTCTCTCTTTGACAATGCATCAAGATCAAAGCAGAAGAAACCTCATAACATATGCAACTGGCATCTCTCTAGCTCTAATACTCCTAACAACCACAATGTCATTCACAAGACCTCACCCGAAAAACCTAGCTCAACCTCAACTCCACCACTCCTCCCACACATCCACCACCATCTCCACCTGCCAAGCAACCCTCTACCCTTCCTTATGCCAATCCTCCCTCTCTTCTGCCTCCCAAAAAACTCTTAAAAAGCCAAAAGAAGCTTTCGCCCTCTCCGTCCGATTCTCCATGGACCAGGCCCGCTCCCTCCGCGACAATGCTGCCGATCTAACACGGTGCTCCGCCGTGGACGACTGCCTTGAGCTAATAGACATCACTCTCGAGCAGCTCACTGACGTCCTCAATCATGACAAAGCGTCGGACCCACACAGCGTTGACACGTGGCTCAGCGCCGCCATGACGAACCAGGCAACGTGCATGGACAGCCTCCAAGAAGGTGTTGTTAGAAATATTGTTTCAAATTACATATTACCCACTATATGTTCCCTGCTCAAACAACTCCACGTTTAAATGCTCTGTCTAATTTCCTGGAATTGAGATGGGTTTGACGAGTTTTTGAGTCCTGATGTCGTGAGGGCCCAAACTCGAGACCCACCCTCAAGCATATATAGGATGAGTTCTGCACATCACGCAAACAAATAAAATTAAAATTCCGCTGTTAAGAAAAGCCAATCTTTTTCTGCTGTTTATACCAACAGGTGCGCGGTCGAAGGACCTGGACTGGATGAGCTCGGACGTGCACAAATTGAGTCAGTGCATTAGTAACTCACTGGCGCTCCATCAAACGGTTAAAAAGTTCGAGAAGCATAAGAAGGTTTCGGGAGGCTCAAGAATACCAGGGTGGATGACGATCCGCGACCGGAACCTTCTAGAAGCTTCAGCGGACCGCATTAATGCGGACGCGGTGGTGGCTAAGGACGGGAGCGGAGCGTACGGAGCGTACAGGAGTATCGGTGATGCGCTGATGTCTGTGCCACGAGGAGGCGGTGGTGGCCGGACTGTAATTTATGTGAAGGCTGGGGTGTATGAGGAGAATGTGAATATAACGACCGAGCAGAAGAACGTTATGTTGATGGGCGATGGAAAGGGTAAAACGGTCATTGTGGGACGTAGGAGCGTGGCGGCTGGGTGGACCACTTACCGGTCTGCTACTGTCGGTACGTGTGATTTGGTTGTGAAATTACTTTCATGTTTTCAATTTTGATTATGTTGTGCCTCGAGAATCCAAACCCAAACGCCGAGAAAAGGATAAACCAACAACCAAACAAGCACAAACAATCACAAACACCAGTTTTACGTGGTTCGGCGAGATGCCTACGTCCACGGGGGAAGGAAGGGGGAGTTTTCACTATTAGAAACAAGAGGATACAACTAGGGTTACAAATCTCACACCAAAACCCTCAACAAATCAACTCTTGATCTCACCAATACTTCTAGAATAGAAGCCCAAAGAAAACCCCTCTCTATCAGCTCAAAATCCCTCTCACAAACCCTAGAAAATACCCATTGGGTATTTATACTAAAGCCAAACGAAACGGGTCTGGAAAGCAGACCCAGACCGAAACCCGCATCGCGGTCGACCGCAGCTCCATGTGCGGTCGACCGCGAAAAGTCCAGAGGCTCACCATCGGCTCTGGACAAATGCCGGTCGACCACCGCTCCATGTCCGGTCGACCGCCCAACTTCCAGAGCCCAGAAAACATCTGCGTGCACATTGCGGTCGACCGCAGCTCCACCGCCGGTCGACCGCCAGACGCCCAAATGCACTCCTTCGACTTTTCGCCAATATGTCCCAGATCGGCTGCATCAAAAACTGACTGCCTACGTATCCTCTCCGAGGAATCAAGTCTTCACGTAGTTCACCCAATGGCCTCCAAAGGCCCTCAATCCAACCTGTGGCTGATAGCATCATCAACGACCCCAAACTGAGAACAGTCCAACACCTCCACTTGAGATGAAACAATGACCGTATCCCCACCATATCCACCAGCTGCATCCAACTCAATTACCTCATCATCTGCACCCATAAATAAATGACTCCCACGCTGTGCCACCTCAGCTGGAATCCCAACCAATGCAGAATGACCTGGAGTACGTGAGGAAATCCTCACCCAATGTGGAGTAGCATCACCCTCCACCCGCTGCGATATCCCTCTGATCTGATCAATACTCTCCACCTGCTGAGAGTCCAAAGTGACAAACCTGCTCAGACCAAACTCAGAAGCTCCCAACTGATAGCCAAATGAACTCCTGAATCCCAACTGCGCAATCGGATCCAACCTCACATCAACGATGTGACCAAGTGCTGGGTAGCCAAATATCCGACGCCGACCAAAATCTGAAACAGCTCCACCAGATCTAACAACTCTATACGCAGCAGTCGGCAACCTCATAAGATAGCCCAATCGTGTCGAAGCCCGAATACCAGATCCACTGCTCGACAACCAATACCGATCCTCCTCCAGAAAAGAAAGGCCCACTAAATCCGCCATCTCATCATGTCGCCCCACTGTCTCCTTCCCTCTGAAGTGTCTCCAACTGCCGTGCAGTCGGCAACCTCATAAGATGACCCAAATCTGTCGAAGCCTGAATACCAGATCCACTGCTCGACAACCAATACCGATCCTCCTCCAGAAAAGAACGGCTCACTGAATCCGTCATCTCATCACGTCGCCCCACTGTCTCCTCTCCTCTGAAGTGTCTCCAACTGCCATGAGCTCGGCACCGATGCAAGAAAGGACCCCTACTAGAACAAGTATGACTGGTAACCTTTCTGCCCATACACCTCCTCCAACTGTTGCGGACTACTAGGGCTTTATACCAACGGGACTTGGTTGCAACCCAAATATGCCTAGTACAATCCCCAACATAAGAAACAAAATACCGATTACCTCCCGATGATGCCTCCTCGGAAAGCCCCCCAATGCCTGACTGAACATCATCTAAAAGACCCCTCGATCGGTGGATAGAAGTGCTGAACTCCACCTCGGTCTTCTCGCTCATCCCACTGTGCTCACAGGACTTCAATCTGCAGGTCATAGCACTCCTCAACAATCTGTGCACGGCATAACCAATAATATATCCCAGCACCAAACAATGCCACAGTCTAG